GCGCGGCGAAGCACAAACCCCAGCCACACACAACACACACACATCAGGCACACGCACATACACACAGCACACACATCACACCCACCACACACACACGAGACACACACAGACTTCACACAGTCTTCCCGGGAGAGCACCACACACACAACAGCCACACAGACACACAACACACACACACACACACAGCACACACGCCGGCCAATACGCAAACGGAGCGAGTGAGCGTGGTGTGCCGAGCGGCGGACGCACAGCGCACACGCGCACACGCAGACACACACACGCGCGCACACGCCGCACGCACCGGCACACACAGTTATCCTACCAGCAGCACACACACAATCAACACACACACACCACAGGCGTACACACTGAGCACACATCACCACCACAACACACACAAACACACCACAGGCCCACACAACACACCACACATCACACATGCCTCAACCCACACATAATTCAAACAATGCTATTATTCGTTGTAGTTAATACGAGGTATGCAGGCAAGGCTCTATATTATTTCAATATCATCCACGTTCGAAAGTTTGATCTGCGCAAGAAGTATTTGCTTAAGTGATACGAATGGTATAATTCGATACATAGTTTATACCCTGTTTTAAGCAACAAAACGCCTCCATCTGCATCTATATATATATATATATTATTTATATATTATTTATTTATAGATACATGTGTGCGTGTTATTTGTTTGCTGTTTTGTGTGTGTGTGTGTGTGTGTGTGTGTGTGTTGTGTGGGTGTGTGTGTGTGTGTGTGTCGGTGTTGTAGTGTGTGTGTGTGGGTGTATATGTGTGTCGTTGTGTGTGCATTGTGTGTGTTGTAGTGTGGTGTGTGGTTGTGTGTGTGTGCTGTGGTGTGTTGTTTTGTGTGTGTGTGTGTTGTTGTGTGTTTGTTGTTGTGTGTGTGTTGCTGCGCATTTGTGTGTGTGCACGCATGGGGTGGGGGGGGGAGTGTTATTACCTAGTCGGTTAATTACTATTGTGTAGTAATCTACGGTCAAGCAAAAATACATACTTAAAAGAAAATAACGGTGTATCTAAATCGTACAAGCCATACCACAGAACCGTGAAAGTTTAAACCCGAAGAGAAACCTTGAAAAATGAGAACCAAACTAACATGCCCACTTATATCAAAATAAGCACGCGTGAATCAATCGTATAATCGCTCGACATTCTTCGACTCAGCATAACAGGGTGCTAACCAGCGCAGATTGCATCTAGCCGGGACCGTTGTGCTTTGACTATATGGGTTCGCCGACTAGTCTGTAGTAGACGGCATTTTGTCCGAAAAAAAAAGGTAGAGAATCTTCAAAAATTAGGACCGCGATTTTGGCGGAAAATAATCCTGTTGAATAATTTTGCACTTTTTGCATGTTTTGTTGGGGTGGAGAGATGAACATCGCGGGGGCGAAGGCGTCAGGCAAGTCGATATAGTGGGGCAGATCATTAAAAAAGTCGCAAAATCAAAGACATGACTTTTCCCCCAAAGGCGGATTTTGAGGATTTTCTCCGTTTTTTTCCCAGGACCAAAATGCTCTACTAAAAGACTAGTAACAAGACCATATACAAACACAATCGACCGCCTAGATCAAATGCATATAAACTTTTGGTATATGGTGTTCTAATACACATCCCTGGCTCAATCTGGTGTAGGAAATACCGATTTTTTTCCCCGGTCAAAATACCGCCCCAACTATAAATGAACCCGTGCGCGAGAGATGTTGCCCGTAGAGCGCGGCTTGCTACCCTTCGTATCCTGCGCTGGTGCCAGAGAGCACGCACATTCGAATTGCCCCGCTCAGTTCCGCCTGATCGAGCCACATGTCACACGAGAACAATTGTACCGACCGCACTACTGTCCAATTCATGCCGCCCTCACTTGCTGGCGCATGCCCGTATCGTACGGCCGCGCCGAATGTCCTCGGGCTGGTAACTTAAAGACTGGCGCGCCATGGCACGCGAGCGTGCCCGAATATTCCGCTTTCCTGCGTTGAGGCAAGTCGGTCGTGTGATGTGGGGTGAACCACACAACAAACGCATCACATCGCACCACAGCGTACACGCACACCATGTACACACACACTCACACACGCACGCACTCACGTGCGCGCGCAAAGAAACAAGTACACACCACAACACACTGCACCCCGCACGCTACCTACCGCATGCACGTTCGCCACACTACATCACATACACCAAACGCCCACACACGCACACACGTACACGCACGACGTCACGCAACCGCCCCCAACCAACGTGTCGCCGCACACATACTACACAACACACGCACTACCACACAGCAACCTCCGGCGACTAGACCGCACGCGCCAATGCGCACGGCCGGCCCGAAGCCGGCAACGCAACACGACGTCCGCGTATATCTACACAGGCACACGCCATCACACACGCAACACACGCCACGGTGCCGCAATCACACGCACACACGCAGTCGACAGCTGAACGCTGAGCGAAAGTCAACAAGACGAGCGGCCCGCCCGATATCAAGAGACCGCTGCGTAGGGAAGTCGTATGTAGAATGACTGTGTTATAGGGCAGAAAACAGTCGTAGTCTACATCTACACGTCAGTAATACTTACGTGAAATAAACGGATCGAATCGCGGAATAACGTCGCCGTGTCGAAGACGGGCGCAATCGATGAACGCGCTGACGTATCGAGCTCGTGCGGGCGTTGCTGTGCTAGTCGGAGAAAGGGACGACTTTAAAATTCGCGCGACGGACTACGCAAGATTTTGGTGTCCGCGGCAGACGGCGCCGACAGTGGCCACGGCCCCTATGCTGTGGCGACGTCGCTGCGGGTGGATGTTGTCGTGAAAGACAGTACCATGCCCTGACTGGTGTTGTGTGTTGGCAGCTTTGGCTTATGCCTGGTCATGGTAGTCAAATCCGGGGTCATCGCTCTTGCGTAATGGTGTTTCCCGATCCTGGAGTCTGGGGGGGGCGGGGACGTGCGTGGAAGCTGCTGAAGCAGATTGCAAAGCCGGAAAGTATTTTGATGCCTTAATATGTACACAGCAGATATCTGTTACCCTGCGCCGCGCGCTAGCTCATTGCCGCAGGCCGTCGCAGAATGGACCACAACATAAACACACTATAAAGACGTCATCTTATGTCTGTGATGTATTATTATTTAGTACGTAATGTTTCATTTATCAGACAATTCTAGTAGAGCATATTGGGCGGTCGTGCAGACGTTTGTTCTTTTCGATTAGCAATACCCTCTGCTCATCTAACTCTAAACTTGCTACTTACCTACAATATTTCGGCCTACCCGCATCGATGTCTATACAGATCCTTGCTTTCGACTATCTCTTCGTATCTCTCATTCTCTCATCGCTCTCTCTGCCCATTAACAAAATTTTTCATTCCACTAATAATAATATATATATATATATATATATATATATATATCAAAATATTGTATTTCAATAATGTATTTACGCATATTTGTATTATACTTTGCCGAAATCGATGGCAAACGAATTATGGCGCTAACGATTGATGAATGGAGAATGAATATTAAATGTGATTTTGAAGAAAATTGAAGAATGATGATTTAATATTAAATATATTGATTTGTTGTAAAGCACGACGGAGAGCGAAAAGTGTGTACATACGTACGTGGTATTGTATCCGTACGTTCTGTGGATACCTGCTCATGTGAACGTGGTATCTCGTTACTGCGCCGATGTATGAACGTGATGCTATGTCTGCATATTACTTATGCAGCGATATAGCTTTGCAGACTTATCTACCAAATATATCTACCAGGGAGTTATGTCTATGAATCATACGCAAACGCATACGCAAATCTATGCATGAATCAGTGAATCAATGAATGGATCAATCAATCAATCAATTGAATCAATCAATCAATCAATCAATCAATCAATCAATCATCAATGAATTTGATCAATCAATCAATCAATCAAATTGAATCAATCAATGAATCATATGCAAATCTAGAATAAATGTACCTTATATTAGCAAACTGCGATCACTGGCGGACAGGAGAGTAACGGGGGAGAGAGGGGGCATCGCCATCTCGGTGAAATTATCTCTTCACTTTCCATGTTCAACCGCTATTAATATACGCGCGCACACAAAAACCGCTGTTTACACGCCATTAATATTCACGAAAAGACAGGAAATTTGCTGCAAACTGCAATAACAGCTGAAAGCCCGTCGGCTCGCGCGCAGCGAGCGCGTAGATATGGTTACTCGTACTCTGCACGCCAATTTAAATGCGCGCAATTTCATGTAAAATGGATGCACGAAGTCGATAAAAAGTGACAAATAAACGGCGAATATTCACGAGGAGGGGAGTTACTATGTATCTACGATCCCGTGAAAGGCAACTCTAATGGCGCGAGGGTTTGGTTTCTAATTGGGTCACACCCCCAGCCGGGTTCGGCCGTTGTGTGAGTAATTGCCTGCGTTGTGCGATGCGCTCGGCGCGCGCACAATGGTGAGAACGAGCTGAATATGGATGAGATTTGCGCGATGTATTCACGAGCTGAGATACGAAAACGATTCGGATTCACGATCGCAGTCCGGGAACGGTTTACGTCAAATAGATCGCGGCGCGGCGAGCTATAAGCACGCCCACTCGCGCGATCTGTTGCGTTTACGATGCGCGCGGGATCCGATTTTTCGATTCGAAGATTTTAAGCGAGAGGGAACGTGCGGATGTATTAACGACCGATTCATCCCGTGAACGAACGACTGGAGACCAAGACAAAGGGACGGACAGAAGGGCAGATGAACAGACAGATGCATGGAAGGAGAAAACTGAATAGAGAAAATAGGACTAGATGGGACGATGAGAGGCAGAATGTGAGGGATGGAGCCTAATTATATCTTATAAATTAGTATATCCGATTATGAATAATGGATAAATATTAGATAGAAAATAAACGGTTTAACGGTGCTTGTAGGCAACAACGTAAACGCTTAACATCCGTTATCATTATTTACATTTTAATACTACAGTAATATATTATATAGAATATACAGACAAAAAACATGAATTTAAACAAAGCGGTTTGCGTTTAGACATACCCAATAAACACACACACACGCAAAACGGCACTATGCGCTAACAACTTGTGACGATTTGTATATGGTTTTATGCGAAACAGCTGTCTTATTTGGCTGCTCTCTATTTTCATATGTCGTGGTGAGAGCTGAAGAAGGGAGCAAGCTTAACTCCCCATAACCGCCGTGCATCTGTCGATTTGGCTATAGCACAATGCCGGTTCTGTTTTAACAAGTGTTCCATATTTGTTAGGGCGTCATAAGTAATAATCCCATGCGTTGCCTCCAAAGAGGACTGATGCTAGAGCTTGCTATATTTTTAGAATATCTTCTGAAGACCTTCGGAGTTAGTGCAACACCTATTTATGTAAGAAGAAACGTATTCAGTTGTATACTAAAGTGCATGTGGTGTATAAGCTATTTTGTTAAATACGCATTATATTATAGAGTGCCGTGACTAGCATGGATCATATGTATTATGTACAAATGTGCTTAAACTCTGCGTACGTTATTCGTATCACCATGGTGTTTTCAGCAGAGGAGCTCGGCTGCAGATAATAATCGACAATACTTACAGTGTTTTATATTACAGATTCAGCGTTATGACGTCGTCTTGCTCTTTCAGCGTTACGCATCAATCAACAACACGAATAGAATTTTGTTAAATTGTTTCAGTACATCGTTGTCGTTCTCTGTGGATCTCGTACCCAACACAATATGCTAGAGACTACGCTGAGATTAGAATATATTCGTGTAATATACGCAGCACGCATCATACAAATAAGGTTTGCCATTTAGAGCGTATAGTCTACATTCAATATTAATTTCGTTATATTATGGCACGATAACTCCATATACGTTCTTGCATAGCATTCGAATCGCGTAACGTGAAAATACTCAACTCACACGCGTGACAACTATCTTGTGCGGGAAACGTCATAGGCGTATGTACAGACTACGGGCTATCTACATCTATGTATATATATATATATACGTAAATGTATGTGTATGTATATCTTTATAATTATGTCGATGTATATATCTATCGGTATTGTCTATAGTCCTGCTGCTCACAGTCAGTCGTCCTTGGAGTGATTCGAGCCGTCGTCCCAGCCATCAGAGTGCTGTTCAATGTCAGACGACCTGTCCTGGTCTTTCGGCGACAGAGGGCACTGCGTGCAGCCAGGCGGGCACGTCTGGCACGGGTGCAGCAGCAGGTGCGAGCTGGGCGGCACGCCCCCGTACAGGTGCGGCGTCGCCATGAGCTCCGGCCGCGGTATCCCCAGCTGCGGGAAGATCGGCGGCGTTCTCCCGAGGAGAGCGTCGACCGGAAATCCGGCGGGACGCGGCGGGAAGGCGTACTGCCACGCATGCGCCGGCGTCGGCATCGCGGACGACAGGGGCGTGAAGGCCGACTTGACGCTGCCGAACGGAAACTTGTTCATACCGTCGGCCATGACGAACGGCGTGAAGGCGGCCGCCATGTACGGATGGAAGCGCGTCTCCGCTCGACTACCGACGTACGTCGGCCCGGCCGGCGCTGTCGCCACCTGGTGGCTCGTCGACGACGCCGATGACGATGCGAGCATCGTGTCGCCGACGGACAGGAAGTGTTCGATCGCCTTCACCGGATCTCCGTTGCAGCCATGCAGCACCAGCTCCAGCACGGTCTTCTTCTGGAAGGGGAAGATGCGCTGGAGGATGTCGAGTGGCGAGAGGCGACCCGGGCGGAAGGCGGTCGGCAGCGCGCTGGCGTTGATCGTACCGCAAGGTGGCGGCGTGCTCGCCCGGCGAGATTCCTTCGGCGCGCTGCCGACGTTGCCGACGTCGGCGGGTTTGTCGACGTGCACGCGCGCCACTGTCTTCGGTTTGTTGGCGACGACGTCCTCTCTCTCTGGCGTGCGCTCCTCGTCCGACTTGCCGTCTGCAATAAAGCAATATGGCGGCGAAGATGTTAATATCGTGTCTATATTTCACGCTCGCAGTGTTTGATGTCGTTTGACGCATGTTGTTACCATGTTTGAAACGTTTGAATCTGTAAGTTTGTACATTGTTAGCGTACCATTTTAGTCATGTTTCTTCAATTTCGTATGAGGTTTGTGCTGCTCTATTGTGTTTACGTTTGCGCATATATTTATCATAGACAAGAAATTCTATATTTAGTAATGCAAAGGCACTTCATATGATTAAAATAATAGCAACACTAAAAGAGTTTTTATGAAATCCGGTTTCAACGCTAACGTAAATGTTTTCAGATATTGCGACGTTTTAAGCCACCTATATATTTATTTACATTAACTCGCAAAATTTCGTAATACCTCAAAAGTATCCATCTGTTGTCAAGAACTTATCACCGTGTGAACGTCCACAGGAAATACAAATTCAGCACGAAAACAAACAGTAACTATTTATTTTCTCGATGTGAGCAGAAATACTTTGATATTAACTCAAGACTAATAATTGGATATTGATAGCATCGAGACGTAGACATAGCACAGTGCGCGCATATACAAGATGGTGGAATGAGAATAAACAGTCACTGTTGGACGGTAGCAAACGTTACATGAACTCGATATAATGTATAATGTTAGAATAACAAATTCGACACACAGATGTTAACAGCAAGCGAATTGGCTTTCTTATTTATTAACGTAACCCGTTCCTTATTGATATTTGCAGGGGAAAAACAAATGTGTAGATTTATTTTGAACTATTTTAAACCCGGATCTATAGTTATATGGTCTGCATAAAAGACTGAACAAGTCTATCGTGCGTAGAACCGCTTATTTTTACTTCGCCTGTGTAGTTTCATGCAGGCAGTGCACTGTACGACGCACCCATGTAAACGCCCTGATTATATTTGCTTTCGCAACGAATACTATCAATTCGAGGGCAATTAATGTACACACACGTATGACTGTACTGTATTGCATTAAAAATGTCGTTTTAAATCTACCGACATCTTATCTCATATGTATTAGGAGTGTTTTGAATTGACACGGAATTTTTAAGATTGTGGGATGTATCAAGGACAATAAATGATATCTAAAAATAATTATAGGTTTACCTATATATCGTTGTAAACTATGTTATTAAATTGTAAATGTAAATCAAACCGTTATCGTTGTGTCCAACAGCTGAATACATAATCCTCGTGCTGTTATCCATATATGATATGTACATACGCATACAATTATTAACATCAGCGTGTGTAATATGTCTTCATAACATCTTCATAACGTAACTGCTAGTGACACGTAGTGACTTCCGTTCGACTATATAAACATCATATAAAACACATGCAGGTGTAAAAATTTCATTTCTTTCCATTTACCATACGCTTAAAAATAACTGCAATTCAAGTGGCCATATATCATCGACATTGCATAGACTTGCCACGAATTGTTCTATACTCACGAAGTCTGATTACATTGCATCGACGATACAAGTCTGCGGATGAAGACGAGACATGAGTCTGCGTGACAGAATGAAAGATCGCATGGTGGAATAAAATACTGCATTTGATTTCAAGAAGATATTTATTAAGATGTTTTATGTGATGCTTGACAGGAAAATAGTACTCATTATGACAATTATTAAGTAGGCTGTTTGGTGTGCTAATAAAGCATAATTAATATTATTCTTATGAAAATTATAGTAGTTTTACGTAAATTTAATGGGATAAATAGCTGCATGGTTACTACCATACAACGAACATTCAGGAACATTTTGCAACGTCACTAAAACGAATGCAGGCATCTAACCTGGGTTGTTCATTCTGTAATAGTATTTATTATGATAATATCATCGTAAAATCTCAATCAAAAATACGCACTAGACTACAAATATCTAGGCACACAGATTAAATGTAGCGGACTGTGTCTTGTTTATATTATATATAAATATATATGTGCGTGCGTGCGCGCGTGCGTGCGTGTGTGCGCGCGTGTGTGCGCGCGTGCATCCGTGTGTGTGCACATAAATGGGCGCCGACAATTATCTTCTTTATAAAATCCATCAACATTTGTTACCGAGCTCCCGTTGCTGTTACAGGACGTTGATGGATCACGTCTACCGCGGTGTATATTAATTAATACGCTATGGTCAATACCTTACAAAAGCAATCGTGGCTCTCGTGATAAATTTGTGTTTATTCATATACTAACATACATTACTCGAGATACTAACGTATGTTTACACCTGCGTCAAGTAAAAGCGACAAGCGGGCCTGCCCATTTCTGCTGTTACCTGGCGTGTTTCATGTGTTTATTCAGCCCGTGAGTTAATAATGATAGAGATACAATGAACACGTAATTACGGTAATATTAAACGAGAGAACTTGCATAATTTATATTTACAACATTTACATTTACATAACAGTACATTTACATTTTTTATTTCAGGCTGCGCGGTCACGCACACGCACACGCACACGCACAAGCACACACACACGCGCACGCGCACACGCACACGCACACGCGCACACACAA